TTATAGTTCAGTCGTTTTGCCTTCTCTGTATACTAAGTTGAGATGACTTATCTGAAAGAAGCATAATAGTTTTTCAGGTCATCCGCTTCCATTTAATAGCTGGTCGTTACACTCAGTAAACTCCACGTGTAGGTAGTGCCTACACGTCGGTTGATCACCATTGGATCAACTCATGTGGGTAGGTGTGTGACTGTGTGTGATCGGACGGTGATTAACCCCGTATAAGAAACCATTTGCTGGGTCATCACATGCCAAAGGAATTGTGCTCGAGAAAATGTGAGATTCCGATTATTTTTTCCTCCATTATGTCTTTCAAAAATGTACAGACTTTCTAAATGGCAGTTGTTTATTCGAACAAAGGCATTTAGGCTAAGCAGCCCAACACTATCATTCTTAGATGTGCCCGAGTGCAGCTTCATCAAGAACGGGAGAAAGATTGCTGCTTTTGTCCCTAAAATGATGATTGTTTAAATTATATTGAAGAAAATGTGAGTTTATCTTGTTCGATTACCTTTTCTGTATTTCTCGTTTATGGATGCAATTTCGTTCTGACTAATGACTACATGTGCAATCTTGTATTTGTAGGATGAGGTGTTGATATTCCCGGTGTTAGGTTTGAAGTGGTGAAGTGTTTGGGGTTTCTCTGCTGGCCCTCTTCAAGGAGAAGAAGGAAAAGCCTAGATCTTAGGTTTCCTTTTCTTTTTTTTTTTCCTCCATTTCTGATTAATCTTTAATCAGTTTTTTACAATTTTGTGGCAGTCTACAATTGAGAGAAAACCTGCTTTTGATGAATAACTTTACTTCATACATTCAACCTGTAGACCTTGATATTGTTGTCATATTTAACCCAAATCCCAATCTCTTGCTGTTTGTGTAGACAACTAGACATGATACCGTAACGGGATGGTACCGTAACGGGACCTTAGCATTTCCCGTAATTTTAAAGTTTAAATGATCGCTTTGAATATTCGTGTAATTCTGTCGTGCATTACATTGTGCCCTCTTGGAAAACCTGAGCCAAGTTTCTACATTGTGCTCTCTTGGAAGACTTGAGCCAAGTAAGTTTTATGGCTTTGCGAATATTCTAACGCGATGTCATATACTTCAAAAACGAAAAGGGAAGGGTTATGGCCACATGAACAGAGAAAAAGGGTTTATACTTTGAATTTATGGAAGTGATAAAAATATTCCAACGTGATTCATATACTTAAAAAATACGAAAAAAGTGAAAAGGGGCTATACTTTCCACTAAGAAAGTGATACAAGTTCTCAAAGGCATTGCACTTTTCTTCCATGGCCGTGCAATACTGATGCCATTTTGCATGGTCCATTTTGGGTTATATCACTGGACTTGTAATTCCGAATATAAAGTCTTTTTTAGGGTTATCAAAATACGAAAGCAAATAAGGTGTACACACACATCAAACAACGTCTGTTTATTCACATATTAAGGACTTCAATGAACTTGACTTCTAAATTTCTACTCGTTTTTTTAGGTGATTGTCTTACTGAGTGAGTATTGTATATACACCAAATAAGGTGTACACACACATCAAACAACGTCTGTTTATTCACATATTAAGGACTCCAATGAACTTGACTACTAAATTTCTACTCGTTTTTTTAGGTGATTGTCTTACTGAGTGAATATTTGTATATATACCGCGCACGATTTCAATGTGTACAAAACGTAATCATTTATGGGACATTTTCATCTATCCTACAAGATTTTAAAAATATTGCAAAAACACAATTCATAAACAAATAATTACATCTCTACCTAATATGTAATACATAACTACATTAATGCCTAAAGTAAGTTACCATATCCATTCAACTTCCATCCCCCTTTTTGTGGGCTTGATTAAGTGAAAGAAATGAAAAATAATAACTGACTCATTTAATTCCTTAATTCACGCAGTTTGTACATTTGTAATTCACGCAGCCGTCAGGTGGTATATTTTGCGTTTATGTTGGTATATATTCAGTATATGTTACAATGAAGAACATGTCGTCCATCAAAAAATTATGTCTTCTTTATTTTTTTTTTTATTTTTTTTACTTTTAGACATAAAAGTATATATAAACATATTATAGCAGTTACTTATATTCCATATACAAACAAATATACTGCAAATATACTGTACATATATACCCGTCGAACGTCTTCCTGTTAATGTCATGAGAAAATATACCGAGGATATACTGATAATATACCGTCGAACGTCTTCCTGTTAATGCCATGAGAAAATATACGAAAAGATATTGATAATATACCGAAAATTTTTAACTTTTACATACTATCGAACGTCTTCCTATTAATGCCATGAGAAAAAATACTGAAAATATACCGAGTATAAACCATACATATACAAAAGAAAAAATCATCAGTTTATGCTTTGTCAATAAAAAAAAAAAATCATCAGTTTATGCTTTGTCAATATAAACCAAACACGCCTCTCATCTCAAATCTTCTTCCTTCTCCAAAGATTCTCGTTCCTTCGCAGCTTTTTTCTTCGCGTGCGTCCTTCTCCATCAATCGTCTTCATCCTTCTCCACTGACGCGTGACTCTTCCCAGCGGGTGGCAAATCCCGTCCCTCATCTTCCTCGATCGACGAGATAGCAGCAGTCGACCGTGTAGCAGGTTCCGTCCGCCATCGCACCTGAGGTCACGTCACCCTCCGTCGGGGAATTATCAATCCACGCCGGGAGTCGAGAAGGAGCCGTGGCGAGCAGCGAGTTCCGTCGATCCTCCTCAGCCGCTCGACTTTGTCCAGCGAGTAGCAATCCTGTCCGATCCGACCTTCGCCGTCGCGCCTGTTCCGGTCACCGGCCACCGGCGACAAGAAGCAGCAAATAGCAGCTCGGGCCAATGAAAGGTCCGGCTCCTCCTCCTCCGAACAGATCTGAAAAATAAAAGAGGGTTTTTTTTGCAGAGAGATGGGTTAGGAGAGATATAACAGAGAGAGGGTGTTCCGTTTTTTTTGGTAATGATATTTGATTTCAATTAATTATCCAATTGCATTTAGATTGCCCCTATATTTCCTTAATAACGGTTACATGCAGCATTTAGAATCTTAGGTATTAGTGTAAATATTTTAAGCTTGTTTTGTAATTTTATAAATAAGATTATAATTGGTATATAAGTGTAATATATATCATAACTAATAGTAAGGGATGTAAATTACTCATCATTTATCTACTCCTCATCCTTTTGATAGTTATTGAATCCCTAGGAATGTACTTGAAGACATGGATATATATTCATGTTCATGTCCTTAGTTCTTATATGTTTGCTTGTATAAAAAATAAAAATAGAAGTTTTAAATAAAAAAGTATATATAAAAAAAGAAAATTTTAATTTTGTATTCTATTTTAATTTTTTATTTTATTATTATTTTTATTTAAAATAACATCCATCACATATACGACTCACTCATGAAAATATAGATTTTTTATATATACAGTACGAATGTTAAATCAAAGATGGTTAATTTAATATATGTAAAAAATTAATAACAAACAAAAAATTATTAAATTTTATAATATATTTATAATTTAAGTTAGTCTATTATTTTACAAGTTTAAAGCTAACCATATGGATAAAGTTTCAAAGTTACACCAGCTACTCTAAACACTATAAATTGATACATAACTTTTATACATAACTTTACGAAATATACACACAAAATAAGGAACCTCCCCAGTGACCATAACTAAAGTTATAATATAAACTTAATTTCCATATAGAATTTTATATTACCGAATACTATAAGTAGCTAATATTGATAAAAAAAAGTTCAAAATATTTTTATAAGGATTATATTTTATATTTTTACTACTTATTTTTATTACTAATCTAAGAAGTAGTTGGATTATACATTTTCAATGAGAAATGTTACTCGTGCTAGTTGTAGAGCGAACTATAGTAGTTTAACGACAATTCACAACATTGAACACAAAAATTGAATTGAAATAGTTTAGTGACAATTCACAACATTAATGAGCACATAGAATAAATTGAAGTAGCTTAGTGGCAGTTCAGAACACCACAACATTAAACACGTTGCTGTACTTAATGACAATTCACAAAAATCGAATACAATGAAATGAAATAATTTAGTGAAAGTTCATATTTAACACATTAATTAACCTTTTTGTGGGNAAGTTTAGCTATGATACCCCTTCGGCTTCTCAAAAGCCGCAAGGCCAATTCCGTCAAAGCCAACCCACTCAGATAACGCCGTAACAACTGTTAAGACAATTTCCCTACCCCATCAACGCAGGTCCTGACGGCCCCGTTTTATCCGTTAGACTGCAGATATTTTCGACCAAACCGTCCACGTGTCCCCCCACTTTGAGGCCTCGAATCTGTTTTGATTTGGCCCAAAGCACCAGAGCTCGCGCATTTAGATTGTGCCCACGTCTTCTACCACGTCAGCAATTTGATCCCAATTGGCGCTCCAAAAATCCTACGTGTCGTCCTCCGAGCCTGAAGATCAGCCACGTCGTCGTCCCGAAGCACTATAAAGAAAAAGGAAAAAACACAGAAATTTTCTCGAAAGCTTTTGAGGAGAAGAAGGAAAAGAGAAGAAAATATACACCCATTATCAAATTCTTTAATCGAAACCGTGATCTGGACCCAGCTCATCTTGCTTCGTTTTGATTTGGGCGTGATTTGTTTGGAGTGTGCTCAGTTTCTTTTTTCCTTGCTCTGTTGCAGGCTGGATTTGAACAGTTTGGCTGTCGATTGGGCCTAAATTGGTGAGTATTGAAGGGAATTGTTGTTTGTTGTGGAATTTACCTGTTTAATTTCAGTAGAAATGTGCCTTCCCCTTTTCATTTTTCGTTTTTTGGTTGATAAGTCATTGTATTGTGTGTTGTGGATGTTCTTTGTTGTCAGGCGATTTTTGTTTTCGTTTTTCGTTTTTGTTTTTGTGTTTCGTTTTTTTTTTTGCTCTATGTCAAGTGTCTATTTGTGTTCTGTCTCATTTTTGTGGTACCTTGCGGAATAATTGTTTTGTAAGTGATGGAGCTAGGGTTTTGTTCTGGATAGTATGCAGTAGTTTGGATAGTATGCAGGCAGGATTAATGCTCTATTCTCTTGTGTGCAGAGTGTGGCACTAGCTTCCAATTAGTAAGGAGGAGTCCCTACTGAAAAATCTCACTAGAGTTTGATTCGATTTTCTTTCTGGGTGAAATTTAGTGTGGTTTGTCTAATTTTTCTTACCATTCTTGTTTGTTGCACTTTTAATTGTTTAACAGCTTTTTTTTTTGGTGAATTAGGATGGTTTGTAATTTAGGATTTGGGTCCAAGAAGAAAGAAGCTAATACTATTTGCGCCTTGCCTACTCAACTTTGTTTCTTTTCATCGGTTGGCAAGGAGTGTATCCATGAATATTGATGCTAACTGGGAAAACGAGTCACCAGATGAGGAGAAGGACAACCCAGCTCAAGTAGGTGAAATGAAGGTCAATGCTAACCATGGAGCTGCCACCAGTAGGTCTCAAGGTTCAGGTGTCGTGCAGGTGCAGCAGCAGCAGCAGCAGTCAACACAGGGCTCTGTGGTTTGTTGGGAAAGGTTTCTTCATGTGAGGTCCATTCGGGTCTTGCTGGTTGAGAATGATGACTCTACACGCCACGTTGTCACTGCTCTGCTGAGAAACTGCAACTATGAAGGTACTTAGGATGTGATTGGATATGAATTTGATTGGTTTGTTATTGTTTTTTTTAACCATAGTTAAATTTGAAAAAGGTGGTATGGTTAGTTGTTCGTGGGTATTTAAGTTTAAATTAAAATAATATTTAAAATAAAATAATTAAAGTTGATTTGATGTAAAATTAGGAAAGAAATGATTGAAAGTGATGGTTAGTTAAAATTATGTGAGTAGATGAATAGTGAATTAAAGTTGTGAAGTTGGGTTAAAAGTTGAGTTAAATTTGAGTTCTGATTGGTTTTTTTGGTTAAGTTTATAACCAGTCACATCCTTAGGGGTTGCAATGTAGGATTATAAAGGATATGTGGCTAGGGTAAAAATTTAAAGCTTGCTTGTAGATGCGGTTGGGATGTGTTTATAAGAAAATCGCGTCATTAAAATATTTACAGCAACTATTAATGGTCAATGAACTCCAGGTGTATATGGCTACTCTAACTATTTGATGAGTAATCGTATTATAGCATTTGGATGGAAGGATTTGGACTTGAGGCGAGGGTTATCATAGATTTGAAATTCGTAAAATCCAGTAACTAGGTAAATAGTTCAAACGAAAGGCTCAATCCATTACAACATGACATGCCTGTAAAAGATCAATAGTTTCACTGTTAATCTTGGATTTGCTTCAAATATTCAATATAAAGTCTAAAATTTCTGACCTTCCCCATGATTTGGATTGAATTTATCACCATTTTTCATAATAATTCTTGTTTTGGAAAAGAAAGCGTCGATTCTAGTAAAAGAATATGTAGTCTAAGAATAAGCTGCACATGACTCACAAGCTAATATTTTCACAGCAATTATCATGCCATTTTGGTTAGGTAGGTCAATGTGAATTAGGAGGCTGTCTTCATTTGTGTGAAGGATATTTGTCAATCGCCTCAGCTGCAAAGGCAAACATCTCTCTTCGATGATTTTGCTTTGTGGGCTAAAGAGTAGGCAATTCCATTGCTCATGGAAACAGTAGAAATTCCAGCATCATTAGAGCACAGTTGTCACAAAGTACCTTTTTTTTTGGGAAATTCATTAAACATACATTATTTTTGATCTATGCATAATAAGATTCATGTAAATCTGAGGTATTTAATATTATTCTAATTCTAGGAGCAGATGCACGACAACTTAATTACACCTCTCTGATCATTTAATCTTTCATGAGTCTTAGCCTCGAAGTTATACCTTAAAGGGCAATAACTGGAGTATATCTAAGCTAATAAGTTAAACCACTATTTTGGGAGTTCTGGTACATAATATGTTCAGCTTTGTGTTTAATATATTTCACCAAATCAAGTTTATACACTTGTGTCAATCAAATTCAGTTTTATGCATCTTATTCCTGTTGGCTGGTAAATGCAGTGGTAGATGCAGCTAATGGACTGCAAGCATGGAAGATTTTAGAAGATTTAAACAACCATATCGACATTGTCTTGACAGAGGTGGTAATGCCTTGTTTCTCAGGAATAGGCCTTTTATGTAAGATTATGAGCCACAAAACTCGCAAGACTATTCCTGTAATTAGTGAGTAATTAAGCCCTTTATACATTTATTTATCGCCACATTTAGGTGCGCTATTGACACTTATTCGGTGAATTTATGTGCAGTGATGTCATCTCATGATTCAATGGGTTTAGTCTTTAAATGTCTCTCTAAAGGTGCAGTGGACTTTTTGCTCAAACCTATAAGGAAGAACGAGCTTAAGAATCTGTGGCAGCATGTATGGAGGAGGTGCCAAAGTGTGAGTCATCATAAATTGTCTGATATCTTAACAAAAACGTAACTTCTATGTGGTAAAAATGACAGAGCATTATTATCAAGACTCAAAACCTTCACACATGACATCCTCCTCTGGTTTAATGTGAATCGACCTCAAAGTTAATTCGTTGTAGTGACCTTGTTATTTTAATTGGTCTTGATTGGCCAAAATTAATCATAATAAGCTTGTTTTTTCATGTTTGAACATTTATTATTACTGAAAAGTAATAATAGGTTGAAAAACTGCACTTTACCGTATGCTTTCTTCGCTCTTCCTCTCTGTTTTCATGTGTGTTGACATGTTCCGTTAATGGACTCCCTAACAGTATTAAACTATAGCTAAAACGAAAACAAAAAGGAAAAGATGAAAGAAGTGTTAAGACTTTGACGATCAGTCTAGGCAATACTGTAATGTGTCTACTTGACTGGTCAAACTAATTTTTGTTCTATTTAAACAAGTTTGTTTAGTTTTTCTTATGCATTTATATCCTCTTTGATTTGATATGCTTTACAGTCCAGTGGAAGTGGGAGTGAAAGTGGTACACAAACTCAAAAATCTGTGAAATCGAAAGGTACTGATATATTAGGCAACAGTGCAAGTGATGATGGGGAAAATAATGAAAGCAATGGATTAAATGCTGGAGATGGAAGTGATGACGGTAGCGGGGCACAGGTGGTGCATTTCTACTTTTTGTTTTCACCAGACGAACTATATGCATGCAAGAACAAAGTAATTTATATCACCAGATGTTATGTTTGATGTTTCTCTGGTGTCCCAGGGGATTTTCCTCATCTCTTATGTGCCGCTCAATCCTCTTTATCAAATTTTGTTTCTAATCTGAAAAATAAAAAGAAAAAGGTGCGCCTATTGCTCTTTTTATTATAGAGGAACGTTCACTGTACAAGTAAAATGAGAACAAAAAGAAAAAAGAACGATACAAATCTCTAATATAAATTTGAATGTCGAACACGAGAAAACTTGTTTATTAGTCTCTCTCTACGTACACCTGTAGCTGGGGGGATTTTGTAAGTTTCTGTATACATACTACTATAACTCGGTTGCTCTTTCAGAGTTCTTGGACAAAACGTGCTGTAGAAGCTGACAGCTCTCAAGCTTTATCACCAATCGATAATGTAGCACAGTGCCCAGACAGTACGTGCGCCCAAGTTATTCACTCAAATGCCGAGCACTCTGACTGCAACAGGGTACAACTTCGTGCAGCAAGGGAAGGCCATGGCCAACAGCTTCCTGGTATAAAATTTATAATATGTATAATAATAATAATTTAATGTTGACTTTTTGGTGGTGCCTTGACAAATCTCGAACAAATTTAATGTGTAGATGCTGGCAACGAGTTGGAAACAGCTGTCCATAGAAATGCCGTGCCAAAATCTGAAAATCCAGGGGAGGGACAAGCGAACCCGACTGGCAGAGAAACTGAGTCTACTAGAGAAGTCGCTATCAAATTGGACATCAACAGTAATGCAACTGACGATTGTAAAGAACCAAACGTCGAGCTTAGTTTAAAGAGGCTTAGGGGAGTTCAGGACACAGGTGGATCAGTCCAAGATGAGCGCCATGTCTTGCGACGATCTGAGCAATCTGCCTTCTCAAGGTCTGAAAATAATAATAATAATAATGGTAAATGGGCTCGGGTAGAACTCATCCCCCAAAGCTATCTTAAAGGGAGAGGGTACCCTAGCCCACAGTTATATAATAATGGTCCAACAACTAATCGATAGATTTTTTTTTTGGTTTTGATTGGTTTTTTTTTTTTTTTTTTTTTTTTTTTTTTTTTTTTT